AGATTGTGTACCGACACCGGATAATTAATATCCTCAATACTGGGGGCTCTGGTACTATTGCCTGATTGATGGCACACCAGCACGACACAGCGCCTCATCGACTATACGGGATCTCAAGGGTCTCACAATGACTAATTAGTATTCATTCTATATAATACAAGCTGTCGTCCGCGACTTTATATGCAAGGAATTAAAAAAAATCATAAGTAACCTATGTGTTATTCCAGGCTATGTTCCACACCCAAGCCAAATTTCAGTGACATTCATGATTGCGTTTTGGAGATACTTGTAAACAAACATCCATTCATCCAAACAGTCGCATTTATAATATTAGTAAGATAATATGTACTAATATTATAATGAGGAAAGATTTGATTATTTGTTTGCTTGACTCCTAAACGAATCGATTTGAAAAATTATTTCACTGTTGGGAACCTACATACCTGGGAGACATAGAATATTTATTACTAGATTTTGTTTTAATACGGCACGAAGAAATTAAAAATGCAGTAAACGAGAATGGTACCTTTTTGCGTGTTGAAGAAATTATGAAGTTATCTTTTAATTTTGAAAAATATCTTTACTAATCTAAACGTATTAAACTGCAATAAAATGTACAGAATTGTTTAAATCATCTTATGAAAAATGTTTCGTCTTGTTTCAGTTTTTCTTTAAGCATAAATGTTAAACGTGTGTTAAATATCACATTTAGCGTTGTCATGAAAAGAAATGTGTTTGTTAGTGTTGTGTGTCAAATGGGGACGCGTGCGGTTGCCTTCAAAATAGCAGCAGCTGCGCGCACGCCGCGTACACTCGCGTACAGTTCCTTACTGCCTTGTTGTACAGTCGCACAGATGTGCACTTTCAACACAGAAGGCACGTGCTGGCCTGAAACTGTAGTACAGTTGCGTACAATGTGCATTTTGTTATACATCAGTTGTGTACAAATTATGTGCAGATTAATCTGAAGTCGGATCATTGTATTTGTCACCGTAGTTATGAACATGTACACTCGCGCATAAATGTGTACTATCTCTCTATTGCATGTGTACAGTCGTGTACACATGTGTAAATAAAAAAAATGTCATTTCCTTACGAAATAAATATATTTACAAACAATTTGACATTATTATTTATATAAATACTAATTGTCACCCACGACTCTTCACGCAAGTAATTAAAAAAAACTTAATATATAGCCTATGTGTTCTTCCAGACTATGTTCTATATGTATGCCAAATTTCATCGAGATCCGTTCAGCCGTTCTAGAGATACCTTCAAACAAACATCCATCTAAACATTCGCATTTATAATATTAGTAAGATTTATATTACTAATGTAAGGAATAATTTGTAATTCTTTTATTAAGCTGACTGTAGGTACCATTAGTCCTTGTTCGTACGTAATGCACGTCATTAGGGGAACAATTAAGGCGCAGGTGCTCCTCGGGGTATGTGCCAGTGATTGCCAAGCTATTGCCAAGCGATTGCCAGACACTGCAAGACGAGAATTGTATTGCTAAGTGTAGCATTTGTGTTAAATGCAACTGTACCGCAATGTACTCTTACAATCATTTGACACAAATTCAATGTAATTTTTACGATTACCATTTTGACTAATGAAGTACAATCGCGAAGAAAAATTTTATGATGCAACCTGTATATCTGCAAAGAAAGTTTGAAATGGGTTAACCAATCCATACTGGACCAGTAGCTTAATACCTAGTCACCCCTAACTTAGGGTAGGCAAGAACCCAAAGAATGGGGTTGCATATGAAATTAAATTTAACAAATTATTCATTTACAACTAATAAGCGAAGGTTTTTGAGACCAAAATATACGTTTAAAAAAATTGTTATCTTTATTTTGTCAAAGAAAATTTGAGATGATATGTACAGAGGTTTAGGTCTTAGAAACCTAGGGTAAGTATTCTTTTAAGTATATATATAAATAATAAAGGTACATATTGATTTTGAAAGTACTATTTTAAAATAATCTATATAAAGTTTCTTTGAACACCTCGGGCCCCTGTAACATGAACAGACTCACCTGTTGTAAAACAAAGCGACAGACACCTGGACAAATAGACAAACAGACAAACGGCACGCGCGCAAGTTTACACAAGTGCTTCAGAGTTTCGCACAATACTACCTTGAATTTTAATTTTCATATAGATATTAGATACGCGGAATTAAAAAAAAACTTAATAAGTAGCCTATGTGTTCTTACAAACTATGTTCTATATGTATGCCAAATTTCATCGAGATCCATTCAGTCGTCTGGAGATATCTTTTAACAATCATCCATCCATCTTAACATTCGCATTTAGATTTTTTTTATGAAAGAAGGGGGCAAACGAGGCCCATGGACATCAGCAATACCAGAGGAACTGCAAATGCGTTGCCAGCCTTTGAGATAGTGATAAGCTCCCTTCTTGAAGGACCCTAAGTCGTAGCGGTTTGGAAATACCGCCGAGGACAGACCATTCCACAACGCTGCTGTGCGAGGCAGGAAGTTTCGCGCAAACCGCGTAGTTTAGTATCATATGTACAATATTAGTATGATACTATTGTCAGCTTTTCCATTGAAATCAACATAATTTGATACTTGACTAATACTAACTATTTGTGTACATTTTGAACTGTATTTTGTCAAAACAAAAGGGATGACAATGTGTTATTCAAAGATTTAAGTATCAAAAAGTACACGTATCTGTGTTCGATGGACAATTTGTATAGGAAGAAAACCTAGAACTTAGTATTTAAGTTTGTAGTCTACTGCTATAAGAACCTTGTTTTTCACAATTACAATATTTTTATAAAACATTGAACAACTGGTGTGAATAGGGGCGCCCGCATCTTACCCGCATGCCTCGTCAAGCCTGCCAACCTAATAACACAATCTGATGTTAACACAATCTTCTACTCAACAAATTAAACGCATGTATTCTTGTTAAATTGTTGGCGGCTCAGGGGTTTAATACTTGATTGATCCTAGGTTCGAATCCCGCCATGTACAAATGTGTTTCTATCCGATGTTCTTACGGTCAAGGAAAACATCGCGTTGCTACACATATCTGCGAAGATATTCAAAGATATGTGTGGTGTCAACCCGCACTTGGCCAGCATTGACTATGGTCTAGTTACCTTAACTAAGGCTAGTAGGCTTCGGCTCTGTGGGAACGTATAGTGAACTAATGATGATGTTTCTTTAAAAAATATATTAATGTTGATTTCAAACAACATATAGTTTACTGAACGTCTTTCTCAAATGAATGTAAAATCTATAGTATAATTTTACAGCCTTTATCCGACAAGCGATACAAGATTCTAAATGTTAAGAAACTAAAAGATATAACAATATTTCTAAACTTGCAATTCCACTGCCAAAAGACATATTAAATTATACTGTTGTTCCGGTTTTTAAAAGCAAAAATGTCATGTACATTTTATACAAATCTATCAAGGAAGTAATCCAACGTAAGGAAATACATTATTATATAATTTTAAAACATATTAATGTAGTGTAAACACTTAACATAGCTATAATCGTTTCTCACATTAAAATCGAGTGGATGTTTTCACATTTGGGACACGTGTGGCCAAACTACACGGCCAACTAGCCGCAAACTGCAATTAGCGCAGGTGTGCTTTTGCCACACATACGATGGAGACGGATTTCATAACGCATAGACAACAGATTAATAACATTTTTAGGTTAGTTTTAAATGTACAACGACAATCATTACTATATTTAAAACTAGCCGTCGCCCTCGACTCCGTCCGCATTGAATTAAAACATGTGTCAAATTTAATCGAGATCCGTTTAGTCGTTCTGGAGATATCTTCAAACATCCATCCATCTAAACATACGCATTTATATTATTAGTAAGATTATCTTTTTTTTTGTTGTCGTTTAAATTGTCGTTTATTATTTTTTATTCTAAAACTACACTAAGGGTTCTTAGTGACCACTAGGCAACTTTTGGTGCGGATGTTAAAGGGTTAACACCGCTTCTTTATATAAAAACTCGTTAGCTATTCTATCTGGAAGAATACGTTGAGCTGTTATTAGATAAATCCATCATCAAAATTATGCAAAGCTAATACTCGTATATAATAATTTTAGGTGTTTCTTATGTAAATACTTTAATTTTTACATTAAAATATTCAACAAAGAGTTTCATTGAAAATAATTCTCTGATAGCGTCTTTTCTCTTTGACAATAAAAAGAGCGGGAAATGTAGAGAAAGCATTCAGAATTGCTCTCAGCGTCGAAGGGTTTAATGACTCTATATTGGCTATGGCAGCTGATGCTGCGCCCAGGTGCCGCTTTATGAAATCTAATAACATTTTATTTATTCCCGCCGATAGTGTTCGGGCGCTGCGGCTCCCGCGCCATCTGGTTTTTTTTTAATATTCGTTTTTTCCAGTCAAGTTTATGTACATATTAAATTATGCCATTCATACTTTTTGGAGGAAATCGATTTCGAAAATCGATATGAATATTTAAAATAACAATTAAAGAATATGATATTCAGAAATATTTATTGTTTGATTGATATAGTATGAATAAGTGAACTACAAATTATAAACAAATAATTTAATTATGTCACTTCAAGAAATCTGACAAAGTGGAATAGACAGAGGTTACAAAAATCCAATGATACGGTCCCCTCTTATCTTTTATATTTACCCAAACAGGATACTCATCTAGCATCATTTTCTTTTATTATAACCTAATTAATTTTATATTTATTATCTACTAATCATAGAATAGATATAATAATATTAGGTTGGTTATTTTAGTATTGTGTAGTACACTAACTTTAAATAAAAAAAACAACTAAGCATTACATCTTAAGAGATAATCATAAGGTTAAATAATTATATTTCAGTGTTAAAAATAAAATATTTCTACAATATATTTCAAACAACAACAATATATTCAAATTGTTTAAACGTTATTCGTACCGCAGCAATAATTCACAAGCAGACTTACCTCAACGTTTTTGACAGCTGACAACTGACAGCTAGGCCGGCTCTCGCTGCACTCTCACAACAACGAACACAAAAAATAAATCACTGAATATAAAACAACACAAACACAAAAAAATATAAACAGCAATAAATTACGTAACAATTAATAAATGTATGAATAAATTTATATTAAAAAAATATAATTTGAATAAAATGTCAAACACAATTTAAAAAGAAAACAATTTTAATTTGGCGCGTAAATTAGAACGCATCTATTCAAAAAAAAATATAAAAGCCCGCGCCGACTACGATCGGATTTTTTTTGCGTACGTTAGCGATCGTAAAAGGCAACGGTCGCATACGTTCAGCCAGGAGCGCGTCTAACTCAGAACTGAGGGCGGGAACATGGCGTGGAAAGCGACCGCTTTATGAAACCCGTTGCTGAGTTTACGGCGTACGATCTCTTGTTTTTCGCCTTCAGCGCGTTTATAGGGTGAAAATGTTGTCTTAAAAAGCTCTGGACTTGTATACGCGCTAACAAGATGTAAATAATATTAACTTTTATGTTGGATGTTGGTACCATTGGATATAAATGGTTGTACTTAAGGTAGAACAGAACAAGACATTACTTTTCATAACATACAATTTTGTCTCTGATTTTAAAAAAATTAAAATAATTGATTATTAAAAATAACAGTTTTATTTTATTTTAGTTGATCGTTTGCTTTTTAGTATGTGCACAATTAACCGTCTCAATAAAAAAAAACATCAACTTGTTATCGATTTCGTAAAAAAAGCTAAATGTCATTGTGTTTTCCCGCCATAATTCCCTGACTTCTTTAAAAATTTAATATATGTTATGTTTTAAGATTTTATTAACCCGTGCATTTTTTAAAGACTGTTAGAAATTGCATTAGTTTGATGATATAATAAATAGAACATAAATCATATCCTGGGCGGTGAGGCGGCGGGGCGTCAGTGCGGGGGGCGTCAGTGGGCCATTTTTCAGGCCGGCAATACGTCGATATCGGTGCGGGCCCAGGTGGAACATTAAATTTGCTCTGCTCATATTACACGTACACTCGAGCACAGAAGTGTGTACATACAAGAAATGTAAGATAATGCATAGAAAATTATTGCTTAGTGCTCGAGAGGTAGTCAAGTTTATAAAACTTCAATAAGTAACTAAAAAACAAACCAACTTTCTTTATTTCAAGTGATATGTGTATTTTAATACCATTAAATAATTTATTGATTTATAATCTTACTCACATCAAGTTGAAATATTATAAACGCTAATGTTTAGATGGATGGATGTTTGTTTGAAAATATCTCCAAAACAGCTAAAGGGATGTCGATGGAATTTGATATACATAGGCTGGAAGAACACATACGTTTTTGAATTTTATAATGTTATTACTTTGAAAGTTTTTGAACTTATCAATGTACCACTATGGTTCATAGAATTAAGTCCGTCATGGCTACTTATATATGAATTAAAGTTTTGAAATAAATTTGAATTCTGTGTGCGACTGTACTTAACTCATTTTGGCGTCTCCCACGCTAAATTGCAGTTTGAGTTTATGTAATGTGAGTTATTTACTGACCTCTACAATAACGAGGTAGACTATACGTATACATACACAATAGCATAATAATCATGATGACTATGGTCAATAGATTATATTTTTTAATTATATACGTAACACTGACCTATATAATTAGTGGACACTACAATCGTGGTATTTTGTGCGTATTTGATTGCCGCCATTTTGGCGCTGAAGGTTGCGGTTGGTGATAGTGGTGACGACTCGAACTAATAGATTGAACTGTCAGTAACATCAATAAGCGAGTTTAAGTGGGAACACAGTAAATGCTGTCATTTCCAAACACCAGCCTATCCAGGTTCTTTATAGATGAGTGATATTAAACTTTTGTTTTTGTGGCTTTTATGGACTTGATTTCTATGGTTTTTACTTTTTAATTTACAATTACTTAATAATTTACTTTTTAATGACTGCTTGTTGTGTCGTTTGTAGCCAGTATCACGACCCACCAACACATACTCAACTGATCTCTAAATGAATAGGTTATTGCTTCGAAATGATAGCCTTAGGTTCGTTCCTACTTAAACGCGTCCGTTGAAGTGCCTACCAGTTGTTTTCTATATGTGTTATTACTTCGAAATCTTACTACCGCTATCAACTGTAAACGTCAGCACCAAAATGGCGAAAATCAAAAAGGCACAAAATACAACGGTTTATATCCTATCCATGTAAAGAGGTCAGCGATAGTAACTCATACGTTCACACCACATCCAATGTCTTCGAACCGCCTTCTGTTCGACAAAGCCGTGTATTGTATAGTAAAGAGCAGTTGTGCAAATGCCCGCTCCATTGCTTCTCATTTATTCAGGTGTTACGAGACGCCAGACTCAACGCGCGATGTAATTATAAGTAAACATTTTCTACGACAAATTGAATATAGGCTTTGTCAAATCATGACCAGACATATTAAACTCTTCCTTTGCGACTGTCAAATTAACAATCGTTTGATGGTTACTTAAATAGTTTAAATTAGACAAACTAAAAGTACACTATGGGACTCCCTTAGTGACAAATGAGTTTAGTAGTCTATTAGTCTGTAGTTAAATCGTATGCTTACAAGTTTTCTCTCAATTTTTATTTCGACAATAGAGGTCGTGGAATGCGGGAGATTTGGTTTTCCCGTATAGCGTTGCCACTTCATCGTGTCATTCGTCCTACAGGTTGGACATCGATGTCTACTGAACAGGATGGTATAAAACAAGTCCCTGCGATGTATTTTTTTGTCTGTAGGCGTCGTGTTTTTTTTCGTCAACGGAAGAGCCGAAAGTTGACAAAGATTTGGACTCTCTTTTTTGATGAAAGTGTTCGTGCATGTTTAACGGTTGGGAGCCCTGATGTGCTGAATCTGTTTTCGGTGGCGAAAGGTTTTCGTAAGGCTTGATAGAGCCCGCATGTCAAAGTTTACATCTGGTTAGTGGTGCCTCTATGAGGGGTAAATTAGATAGTTTTAGACAGCAAAAATAGATATTACTGGACCTTCCAATATTTAGGAAAACATAATTTAATAGCAAAATGTCACAAAAGAATAGTTTATCACTCCCACTTGGCCATTTACATCTTCCCTTGATTCTAGCGTAAATGTATTCTAGATGGACTGAAATTACTCAATAGTAGCCCACTTATATTTTCTCTTGGATATTCCTTTCAAGTAACATTGGCAAAAAACACAAATAAAACATTTTTATTCATAAATGTCATGTCATTCCTTTTTTAAATGTTTTTAAAGCTAATTCATTTAATGGCCAGCAAATGACAGGGTCGGGGCTGTAATGGCGGGAAATGTAGAGAAAACAGTAAACACTGATTAACGTTTGAATTGTTTATGGGCGACCGCGCGCTGGCGACAACCACGATCATTGTTATTGCATTTAATGGTATGCAATTAATTGTGTTTTTTTTTTAATATTGGATTCGAGTTAACCTTATAGCTTGTGTTACTAGTATTGAAAGTAACTTACTGTTATTTTTTTAATCCAAATTCGAATCCACAACCGCTACATTAGTAACTAACTATAAAGCTATTGCCTTCTAATTGGATTATCCATAATTTCAAATCTCACAAATTAAAGTACAGATTTTAAATAAGTATTGGTCAATGACGAAAACGAATGGTCTTCAGATCCAAAACCCATTTCCTTTACCTCAATCCTGGATTCACAATCCTCAAGTGCATATTTTCTATTAGAGAGGTTTTTTTATAGTAAAATTATATAAAGACGCTGGTAATTCAGAAAAAAGCTTCAATAACATGAATATACGAGACAATTAACAAGTTGCTAGTTGAAAATATATCGAAAGTGGGCGAAATGCGCGGGAAAAGGAAATAAAATATGGCGCCCGAGTTGCAATTAAAGCGGCATCAGCGCGCTCCCGCCGCCAGATGGCGCGGACGTGGCGTCACGACGCGCCATTTGCATTTTTTCTGGCTTCGACCACGAGTTTGCGGCGCTTGTTTTGAAATACGGCACAGAACTACTGCGGCGATTGAATTTCTGATTGAAATAATTTATTTCATTACTTATTTGAGCAAAATTATAAAAATACATACGATAAATAATATTTTTAAAAATGATGTGTATACGATTCTTCATAATGTATTCATTTCCAAGAGTCCGCCATCAGTAGTGGGGAGTATTCCTAATATAAAATTGAATTAATAAAGAAAGCAAACAGTGAAGTCAAATTTAAATTAACTTCGACAAAGTTTCAATTATAAAGATAATAAAAAATAATCGAATAGTGTGCTTTAATAAATATCATAACATTTTTATTACATGTACATAACTTTATAAGAACGTCACTATTTGACAGTTAACGAAAAAAATAAAATAGAATAATGCAATTATTAGATTTTTATACAAAATAATTAAAATTATAAAATGGTGGGTAAGGAACTGTAATTACTAACATATGTAACAATTAAAAACTAACTTAATAATAGAAATAATCATTGTAATAGTAGTTTATAGGTTATCTTTTTAATTTCAGATTATCTTTTTATTTATTCTTTCATTCGTCGTCATAAACTGCCAGTATTTATCCGATCCGGCTTTCAAACCTGACATTAGATTCGACGATCACAACGACAGGTTTGATCTAAAACCACTGCTCAGATTCCAAAAGAATTATTTCAAATATCCAGCCCACAGACGAAACTTTAGAAAAACAATCATAAACAACAATGATAGAAGATCAGGATGGACAATATTGAAATCTAAACATTCAGATAAAGATACGGAAGTTGTTATAAAAAAAATCAAAAACAAAGTCAAACATGAATTAGAAAATATAGCAAAACACATCGGCAATTGGAGACGAAGTAATGAAAATGACAGAATTGGAAATAATGATCATTTAAAACAAGAAGTAATAACGTATCCTATCAGGAAATCATTAAATGATATTTTTATAAATCTAGATAATGGTAGACGTAAAGCTAAGCGTGATGGAATTGGATATGAAAATGAAGCCATTTTTAATTACGCGTTCCCTGTACACATGGTTTTACGTGGTTACATGACAATGCCGGCGGTATTTTAATGTAATAAATGTTTAAAATTCTTAAGCTTTTTAATGGTAATAGAAAATTGTACTCCTTTTTTTGTCTCCTTTTGCTGTAAAAAATACTGGCTGTATTATAGTTTTAGGCGCACTTCGTTATCTGTCACTTCTCTTGTCTCTTATGATTGTGTAATATATACAATGAAACACGAGTGTCAAGTCCAAGATGTTTAATTCGACTGTTCCACAAAATATCCATTCCATAGGGTAAATTATACAAAGTAATTTTATAGCTACCTACATCACATTTTGCTAATAAAATATACTAATTGTCCACAAATATTTCTGATATATCCCCATTTTAATTAATAAACTCATGAACAATAACATTTGACTAAAGGTTAATGACGACAAAAACATATTTGACTTCAAAAGACAGATAAGATACTCCTTCGCTTTTTTTAATGTGGGATTCCGTCTTTGTTTTTTTGGAAGGGAATGAAAGAGTTATCGATATTATTTACTAAAATAAGTATTCGTGAAGTTCTATAGTTACAAATAACTAATATTATGTCATTATCCTACTTCAAAAAGAAAGAGGTTCTTAATTCGTCTATATTTTTTATTGTCCACGTGTAGCCAAAGCTACAAATTAACTTTTCAATATTATAACTATAAATTCAGTATGCATGGCAACCCACAGTATTTTTAATTAAATAATTTCCAATTTTACGCTTAATTTAAAATAAAATAATTATTAATTTTGAAAATGATTAAAAGTAAAAAACTCATCATTTTTCAATTGCAAAGGCTATGAAAAGTTCTGTGAATTAGTAAAAAATTTAAAAAAATGTTGGGAAAAATATTACAAGCGGTTTTATTTACTGCTTTATTTAATAATACTATAGAAAGGAATGTTCAAACAAGGACTATGATTGATCTTAAAAAGATTCTGAACACTATCAACGACAATCAGGACAACCGTAATGATGTAACGTATCTTCGAACCAAAAACAGACACCAGTCACTAAGAAATCAAGATAATGACAACGCAGATAGAATCGACGTAGATATCCTGGATTCCTTCATCAAACGTATATTAAATAATAATAATAAGTTTAACGACCAAGATTTTGATAGATTTCTCCGTAACGCCAAAGACAACTTGTGCGCGAAAACTGGAAGATGTGGATGCAGTGGACCCGGCAGGTGTGATGATAAAAAAGTAACTAACCAAAAAACAGTAGATGAAGTAGAAAATTTTATAAATAACTTACAAGAAAAATTAGAAAAAGACAATCAAGAAACAAGCAGCGATGATGAAACAGAAAATGATATACAAAATAATGATAAAATATTGCAAGACAATGATAAGGAAGACGATGAATATTATAATATTAAAATAGATGACAAAAAGCAAGCAGACACTCGCGTTAACTTGTTAATTGTTAACGATCTTGCTGATCTTGAAGATCTATTGAGACAAAATATATTACCTCAAGCGATCGATGCAGAAACAATAAAAAAATTAAACTTCGATAATTTCCCTCATCATGGTGTACGTCATAAGTCTAGAAATAATGTTAAAGCTATTATTGTGGATTTGGGTAAGTTTTATAATGATTCAGAAATGGGAGATAATGAAGAGGACTTAACTGTCCCTCGGTCAGAAGCACAAGATCAAGAATCCTCTGATCCTAATGAATTTATCGATAATTTTAATCACTTAAAAGAAAAGGTGATTAATTCATATATAAATTTCGTAACGAATAAAAATGCTAAGAAACCAAACTTATCAGTACTTAGTAATACACAGAAGCGTAAAATCAGAATACTTAAAGGTAAAATGCGAACTAACAAACAGAAATTGTCCAAACAAGACATAAAAACAGAAATAAATGACATCATGTTTGGGAAGAACAGTAAAATTAAATTTATACCTACAAATGACAATTCCAACAATATTGCAGTACCGAATTGGATCTACAAATTAATCGTTAATTCTAAACCCGTAGCTTACTTGAGAGAGCCAAAAAGAGTCCTTCCATTGACTGAAAAACAAAAGAATCGATTATTTAACAAGAATAAAAGTTTAAGGCAAAAACCAGAAATAAGTAGAATATGGCGTAGAAATTTTGGACAAAATTTACAACAACTTGGGGTACCATTTGAGCTTGCTGTTGAGGGTCTAGCTCAATATAATGACGATAATGAGTAAATATCATGTATTTCAAGGTTTAAATAAAAAAAATTAAATTCTGTAACTAAAAGTACAGAAAATTGATATAGTTGATGTAACGAATTATATATTTGCATTAATAAAGCAATTCATACAATTTGTTTTAATTTTTCCAATTTCTTGTACAAATGCCTTTGATTTGTTTATTCTGAACGAATCTTTAATTTTTTAAGAATATTTTCATGGGCAACTTTTTCAAAACTGTCACCTGTCACTGTCAACTTCTCATTTGACAAACGACAACCAAAACGACCAAAACTAGAACATTGACGTTTTGTTCATAGCGTAAAATTAGGATTATTTAATATTACTTATTAAAAACGAACTCTATTAAATAGGATATTTTAAAGCGTACACTAATTACATAACGATGGCCAATGATACCCCCGAAAGCGATTTCTCAATAGAATGCTTTCAAAATTATACAGCACCAGAAGTTTTCGTACAAGGATTGGCTGGTATGGTCGATCAAACAGACGTTGAAACGATTATACGAGCCCAAAAAGTCATGTAAGTTACATTTTATTCTTATCTTTATACTATACACTATATTTAAGTAATACTACTTTCGTAAATGCTTTACGTGTGGTCAATTTTTTAGGCTTCAACGTTTTGAAAAAACAACAGAAATGCTGACTAACTGTAATCAGCTATCATCAAGTCGTCTGAGAGCCGCGTCTACAGAGTTCAAAAAGCACACACAGTTACTGCTGGATATGAAAAAAGATCTCGAATTTATTTTCAAAAAGATTCGCGCTATGAAGACTAAGTTAAGGTTCGTAAAGTTTTAACTATTAAAGACCTAAAAAAAATCATCAGTGGGATAAAAATAAAAGGTTTTGTGATTACAACTTTCTATTGATGCCATTACGAAATTTCGTTTAATATTTATCTCATATTATTTTCAATTATCTGTTATTACAGTCAACAATACCCGGAAGCATATAAGCAGGCAGTAGCAGCATCAATAGCCAACCAGAAACCAGTCAATGATGATGATGATGAAGATTTTGGAGTATCAGAAACAAGGGTACAATCTAAAATGGTAGCCACTGTATCCACAGAAACTTTAAAACCAACAACGAGTAATGAAAAGAAATCAAAGAAGAAAGACATCAAATTGAACCAAGAAAACAATAATACAGAACCACAGAGTAGTAAAGATATTATCGGTTCTCCGACTTTCTTAATGATGGGGAAGAGGGTTAAACGAGGTAGCAGTTCTTCCGAGACTGAAAGTGCAAGCTCTGGAGATGATACGAGTACGGACACCGGTTGACAGTTCGACATGAGTCTCGGTTAATGTGATATAGACCACTTGTAAAAGTGATTATGGGACAATCGTTCTAGTCTTCGTATATGACTGCTGTGAAGTCAATTTTTTGCTGGAATTTATGTATTGTATTTAATGATAGATATTAGTTATTGTCTTACTATGGATTAACTAAACTGATATATAAACACGGCTAAACACTCACGTATATACGGACGCGGACTCTGAGTGACGGGCCGCGTCCGCGAAATAATACCAGTGCCACTCATCCTGATGAAGGGCCCCCGATGGGCTCGAAACTAGTCGGTGCCGCCACCGGACGTATATACGTGAGTATTTAGCCGTGTTTATATATCAGTTTAGTATAATGTCTCACGAAAGTTTGAATAATTTACTATGGATTAAGGCTCTTTGTATACAAGGCACTGTAAATCTCTGAAACTAATATTGTTGCTTGCCTCGCACTCTGTACATCCAATGATGAATCATCGACGCAAGATGTCTATTCGGTAGACATAGCGACTACATATCAACTGTATAGATTTGCTACACCATCTTGAAATTCGCAGCGACTTTTCTTACGATAATCTAGACAAATAAGTTGCGTGCGACTTCCTTTAGCGACCATAGTAATGTTGGAAACGCATGCCTGTAGACAAACCTCTATGACATTGTATTCTGTAAGTTACTTACTGTAAGTTTCTGACACCAAAATCTGTATAAAACATATTGTTATCCCTCTCATTATCTTTGACAACACAGAGATATCAATATGTGTTATATGGAGATTTTGAACTCGGAAACCCAGGGTAAGTGACTAAAATCGATCGAGGTTACGAACATTTGCATCGCTATGTGTAAGAAGCTTAGCCTGTGGTACTTGTAGATAAACATATCATACAAGTGAAAATGGAGTTAAGGTGTAAGGAAATTAGTGGATATTGTAGTCATGAAAATAATGTAACTTATTTAAAATTTGAATATTTATCAACTGTTGATGTTTTTATTGTAAACTTATGTAAAATTAATGGCAATAAATATTAAATTCTAAGTTATATTACATTATTTATTTCTAATTTCCATGGATATCCTAAAATCTAATGTTTGCTTTGTGTTACATTAATGCTACAAAAATTAAATTCACATATTCCTTATATCATAACCACTCCAATATATTATTTAACAATAGATGTCAATCAAAAATGAGATCACAATTTTTTTTTAAATATAACATTCTTATGTACCTCATATTTTTGTTAAGTAAATTACACTTCTTCTACACAAGAGTTAACTGCGCTCTAAACAATTAATAAGATTTTTCAGTTCTTATTTCCTTGCTGCTTGAATCTTACTTATAAATGTCAATTTGGATGGATGGATGGAAGTCTGTTAAAACATAACATCTGCCAAACGTATCTAGATGAAATTTGGCATAGTAGAACATAGCTAAGTAAAATACATAGACTAATTAAGTTTTTTTTATAATTTTGGTGCGGACGAAGCCGCAGGCGACAGCTAGTATGTTTATACTTGCAATGAATTTAATGCAACTATGATTTTTCCATGTTAACCAAAGTCAGTGGCACTGAACAAGTCTGCAATAAATGAATTTCAAAATACTGTAGTTTTTAATCAATTTTTTGACCACTTAAGGTACACTGCATAGTACAACTCTTGCCCTAGGTAAAATTAGGCAACAACTTGTGCGTTGCTCTCAACCATCAAGATATTTGAATGCAAGAATAGACAGAAATGTTTAAAGATTCATCAATGACTGCTTGTTATATCTGTTGACCAATAGCGTATTTCTCAGTACATCTTCTTGCATTTTCATTGAACTTTTCAATATCTATCTTGTATTCATTTGCAATATCCATCATAAGTGGGTCATGTGGATTGGGATTTGCCAATAATGTTTGTAAGGAGACAAGTAAATTCTCCAAGGTAATTGTCGGCACCCAGGCACCTTTCGGTGGCATTTTCAATAAATCCATACATATTCGGCCTTCTGTAAAAAATCACAAATTAACATAAACATAAAAATATATTTAAAACTTGACAGACTGTTCAGACACATTCACACAAAAGATGATGATGAAGAGAGGTGAATAACAAACAAAATTATTAATGCTCTTAATGTGTATTTAGCATCCTTATTTCTATATTTACATATAGTCTTAAATCTTTGATATAAAATAAAATATTTAAAAAAAAACAAACGAATAATTCACTAAAATATGTTATTAAAAGGAGTCCCTTTAGGATGTGTATTTTATATTAGATATTATAGATATTGATGTTTGGTATCTATGATATGACTTTTTTTTAAATAATATATAAAGAAATATTAAGGTAAAATACATTACCTTTATCAATGTTTGGATGATAAACTGGAGTAACAAACTTCACCAGAGGAGGTTCGAAAGGGTATCGTTGAGGTATGTCGATAATTAGTTTGAACATACCCCTCTCATAAGGGGATCCCTTTGGACCTTGCATATTTACTGTCAGAACATCGTAAATATCCGCTTTTTCAGGACAACACTTAATTCCCCAAGGAGATTTAGTTTCGAAATTTTTAATTTCGCGTGCTAGTCGAGCAGTACGTGCATTTGACATATTAAGAATATTTGATGAAAAAGATAATAAATGCAACTTGTTCGTAAAAAAATAACTTACAAACTTGTGAAAACATAATCAAACTTTGACTTTAACAGATGTGCCGCCTTTTCCTTTTTCTGTCAACAATACAGATTGCTACAGTGCTCTGTGGTATGTCGTGGCTGTCCATAAGCTATTAAATAAAAAGCACAAAAAATAGAACGTTTAGCTTAAATATCGTTCATTAAAAATAAAACGTCATTGTTATTGTTGCTGTTTTTTGCTGTAAAAAACTTATTTCAGTCTATAAAACAAAACTTTTCTTAAACATGCATAGATTGAAACATGTCCTATTTTTAGCTTAAATGTCAAACATCGACAGTGGCGCCAGTGCTATTTTTGATCAAGTGACGGAATTGACGGAACTTCGAAGTTCGAACGACAAGTTGAAGGTTCGGAGAATTGAAAAAAAAAACTTAATAAGGTTATGACTTGATTGATCATTTCTCGTGCTTTCGATACGAAGTTTTTACTTAACACATTAATTTTCTTACTTAAAAAAAGTATTCAATGTTTCTAAGATCAGTAAGTGCTACACTAAAGTGAAAAGTGTCGTGTTGATTGGTGAATATTTTTCAGGAATAAATCGGTGAGTAAAATATTTTTTTTCTTATTGGAAACGTTTTACATTGAATTGTATTACATTAAAATATTAATATAGGTCAAATGCGGTTATAATTACGAAAGAATTTAGTCCAAATATTATTAAAGAGTGATTCAAAATTATGGATTACATTTCGGTGTTGGACACAAATGTTGAGCGAATTTTTATTGAATACTGAGAAAACTAACGTGGTGTTACTTATATCGTAACTAAGTAATATCGGTGTTGTGAAACACGTGATTTATGTAATAAAAATAATCGATTCGCACTTGTTATTGATTTGATAATGTAACAACTTGAGTGCCGGCAATTGTCTCGAATTCTACGAAATCTTTAGTTTACAACACAAGATAATACTTGGAAATAACTATTCAAGTTGAATGTTTAAGATACACAGAGCAAAACTGGCATGAAATTTAAGAAAATATTTTTTTTTAGGTTATAAACATATGTTTTACTTTTCAAACGTATATGGCTTAATCATTGTGAAATATTAATTTAAAATATACAGAATCACAATAATACTTAATTGTATTTTAATTTTGAATTAGAAATAAAGATATAATAATACATAGTAACATTTGTAACAATTGTAAGAAAATATTCTTATAACATAAATTAGATAAACTAAACATAATGTGACATAATATATAAAATATCAAACATCAATTGAATTTAAAATATGCTTAAACAATATTCTCACTAACAATGTTATTATAAAAATTCTTTCTATTATAATAAATATATAACATCATATAATAGCTTGTTTATATTCAAGAAATTATTTAACATTTTATACATTATGTAAGGAATCCACGGGAATAAATTATTGATACATATTTCTGATAAAACTTAAAACAAATGCTAAAGTACTAAATGCTTAAAAAAATTCTATTTACCACTACATAGTCAAAAAAAGGCTAAGAACTAGTGTCATTAAGAAATAAGCTATAATTTTTATTCATCTTACTAATATAAATGCAAATATTTACATGGATGTTTGTTAAAAGCTAGAACGTTTACATGGATATTGATGAAATTTGCTCTGAATGTGTTCTACATAATCTGGAAGAACACATAAGCTACTAATCTTTTAATTCTGCACCGATGGATATAAGCCATAGATTGTTTGGAAATAAATTGGCACTATACAGGATGGTTATTTTTTATATTTTCATCTTTAGTATGTTAATTATGATAATTTTAGATATAGTGTTTAATATGAATAGCTAATGGACTAAAGTGATAAATTTTTTATATTGCAAGATGACAATTTACTTGAATTTACTTTGACTTTAAATCTTCTGTTGGACTTTAAAAAAATTGATTCTATGTTCTTTAATTCAATTAAATAGTGTAAAATTAGAATTATTAATTAATACAAGTAATTACATTAATCAAACAACAAGAAATAATTCTATAAAATTCAAAATTATAAAGTTTGAATAATTCTCCGGCTCGAAGGACCAATTTTTATATATAATGCGAAACACATGCGAACTTCCATGAATTCTTAGTAGTCATATCTGACATATATATGTAAAGAAATGTATCCATAGTTCAACAACACCAACAAAAAGTTTGTAGATAACTAAAAAAGATCGAGGATCTTTATCTGTATAAAAGATCCTTAAAAAGGAATGAACATCGGCTGCTAGATATTATGCAAGAATACAAACTTAGCCAACGGTAGCTTAGTAGGAAAAAGGGTTGTTCGTCATATAATACTGAAAAAATTGCGTAAATTTCACTTCTTTCCCTTTAATTCACGTGTTACCACCACGTGCATGACGTGTCGTGTGCTAATAGACACAATATGACAATGGACGTGTTTCCATAACACCACGTTATTTTATAATAACGTTTACATCACCGACAACGGATATTGGATACACGCAATGCGATAACTTTAATAATTTAAAGTACATATTATTCAAAAGATTCTATATAAGTTTTTAAAAAGTTTATTATTATGATAAGAAAGTTGAAATTTGGGATTATTGATACTTTCCATTGTTTTACAATGTTTTCTTATGAAAATAAACTATTTCGTGATTCGTGAACATATTAAGATTTATAATTTAAACTTTAAGTTGAAGATAAACCCGATTGACTCTATCTATGACACTCGGGGATAAAATACGAAACAAATGACACCACAGTCATGAAAATCTGTTCAGTCGTTTACCCTCCAAGTGACAAAGTGACAATTGGTTTTACATATAAAGTCACAAATATAAAAAATTACATACAATTCCAGAGTCAGGTAAAAAGACTATGTATTAAGTTTACATAACAAAGCGGTCATTTACTTATAGTTAATTAATTTTGTATGAATCGCGTAATATAATGATAAAACCAGTTATAAGAAAATACTACGTTAATAGGAAGTTAATACGTCAATGAACAAGTTTCATACTTCCTGTTATATGTTACTGTAGTAAATGATTAAAACATATATTTACTTTGCACCAACATAGTATTCAGAACTTTAGTATATAAAACTATACATACTACACATCGACTTCCTGTTGATTTTTATAGGCGAAAACACATCTCATCTCATGAGTCTCTTCAGATTCATATGTTCCTAGTCTCTCGATTTATTTCTGAACATCTTATATACAGCGTGTCCCAGAATTCAACAATAAAACGGTAGTGGCCTATAGCCAGATCGATAACTACTCGGTGAAAAATACTAAAAAATAACCCGACTCTGAATCCGATCTGGCTATACACCATTAACGTTTAATCTTTGAATTTTGGGACACGCTGTATATTGCTTTTTGTCCTTGTAAACATGAAGAAATGTTATATTAAATATTTTTTTTTAATTAATTCCCTTCAAAGCGTCGTCTTTGAAGCGAACCAAAGAGGTTTTTCTTTCGTACTCAGAAAGATCATGTTACCGTGTTCCACTGCCAAAGAAATTTAAAACGTAATATATAGATAAAATAAAAAATAACTATGTCGCCCGCGACTCCGTCTGCGCGTCATTAAAAAGTGGATAGCAACCGATTCTTAATCCTATTGAATCAAACTAATATTATAAATGTGAATGTTTGGATGGATGGATGTTTATTTGAAGGTTGCTAGAACGGCTGCATGGATCTGGTTGAAAGTCGGCATAGATGTAGAACATAGCGCGAACGAACATATAGACTACATGTACAGGAACCCAAAAAGCCCCGGGACCCGTGTTAATAAATGATACAAAAAAGGTCGGGTGGATGAGTCGTTTAATTAGCGTTAAGCGCAATCAAAACAAAACAGTAAAACCGAACGCTAGCGTGCACTTAAATAGCGCAGCGCCATCTAGTTCTTTTAGAACGAAACTTATATTTTTATCAACATTATACTTTTTATTTGCGCGTGAACACTACATTTTTTTTTATTTCCGCACGGAGTAAGTCTCGGGCGACAGCTTGTATGTAGATAAAATGAGAAAGAATAAATATAATATTATGTTTTTACAATATTTTGTTCTCTGCAGAAATATCACAATAATATCATTAACTCTGTATTTCTATATTGAATACTTTTTATACTCATTTCCTAGTCAAATGAAAACAGATCTGAATAGTCTTTCCAACTTCCTACACTTTTTGTATAATCAATATTTCCTTTATTGTAAATAACAAAAACATAACATAAAAAGATTCTTCACAATAAGTTTATAGCAGTTAATAGTGAGCTGAGGGCCGCGTCCGCGAAATAACACCAGTACAACTCATCCTGATGAAGGGCCCCCGATCGGCTCGAAACTAGTCGGTGCCGCCACCGGACGAATATACGTGAGTGTTTAGCCGTTATTATATATCAGTTAAGTTTATAGCAAGACCATGACTTAGGCTTGATAGTCTTACTAATATTATAGATGCGTATGTTTAGATGGATGTTTGTTAGAAGTTATCCCCAGAACGACTGCACCGATCTCGCTGAAATTTGGTATGTAAAACATAGTCTGGAAGAACACGTAGGCAACTTATTAAGTTTTTTTTATTACAAGCAAACGGAGTGCGACAACTAGTGTTTCTTACATTTCTATTTACTTTATTATATGAATGGTGTCGTCAGCGATTCCGTCTGCGCGAGTTAAAAGAAATAGTAGCCTATGTTCTTCCAGACTTATTGCAACCGTTCTGGAGATAAGTTCAAACACACATCCATTCATCCAAATATTCTTAGTAATATCAGGCCCATATTTTACAATTTTATTCTTAAATCGATAGATAAAATAGTAAAAAGCTGTTCAAATTACTACAGGTACGTTAATATACGTAACAATTTAGGTCAGACGTTAATCCAAATCAATTATAACAAATCCGTTTTATTGATTATAGCAAGGGCGAGATTAGTTAATCTATTTGCACGAGGCACGCAAATATATATCATAGTTTTTCACATGAAAATAGATAAAAAACATTTTACAACTATTCCTTATCATTACGAATAAATATTTTTATTTACGCCCGACTGTCGGGAATTTTTGGCATGTAACTATGTCCCTTCCATTGCGACGAAAAGTCCTATGATTCACGAGTTCCAATGTTCCCTCAAGGATATATGAGTAATCAGGCGGAGGTATTATGGCGGGAAATAGGTTAAAAACTTAAAGTATAATAGTAATCTTATTATTATTATAAATGCAAATGTTTATATGTATGCCTGGATGGATGTTTGTTTAAAGGTATCTCTAAAACTGCTGCATGGATCTTGTTGAAATTATGTATAAAAATGGAACATATTCTTGAAGAACACATAGGTGTTTTTTTAATTCCGCGCGGATAAAGTCGCGGGCGATAGCTAGTGTAGTGTAAAGGTACGCGTCCATTGGCCCGCGCCGGTCGGACCGCACGTCCGCAACGGATTGCTTTTCGATGCGGGCGGCGCGAATGATGGACGCAGCGCTATGTAATAAATAAAAAGCAAACTAAAATCCGTTGCTTGACGTGCGTGCGGTGTATCTGACATGGGCAAATGGA